AAAGACGTCCTCATAGAAAAGCATTTTCTGGAAAATCAATACTTACCAGCTGCGTCGCTTAGAGCAGTTAAACTCTGACTATATTTTCTAAACATTTCGCAGTGTAATTACTGGCTTGTTCCTCCACGTCTATTCCTGGCAGGCTCTTGAAGGGACGCATTTATCACATCCGCAGTTGAAAGCAAGTTACTTGAATAGACAGTAATTTAAGTCCCTCTTGTTGAAATCTAGTGGGTGTTACATCAATCTACTACTGGGAATATACATGAAACCAGAATAGTGACGTAACATTTTCTAATAGAATAACGCTTTGTTAGGAGTGATTTGAAAACGGATATTATTTTCTTTTCGCCGGCTTAAACAGGCTGAAAATTTGTTTTTGACTAAGACCCGATGTTTAGATGCCCTACTTTATACAGCAACTGTAGTTATAAAGATCATCTATATATAGGCCGTTCCTTACGCCTAATTGAAATATAATCTAAAAGTTAATCTTAGTCCATATTTTGTATTATTGTGTCTGACTTATAAAAAATGATTATTATTATTAAATAAAAAGTCATATAGATCATAATTGTGTTTGCCGGCATTCGAACGCAGGACCTTTTGACATTTGCATTAGGTTATAATTTAAACAAATAGGCGATATAAGTGGTCAATTAAAAAAATAAATCTCGTTGAAACGGTAGGTTGAAAATTTTTGGAGGTAACGTGTAACTCAATCGGTTAGCGCAACAACACGGAACGCTATAGATGTCGATTCAAGTCCTGCCCGTGTCGTAATTTTTTTGATCTAAAATCGATTAATTTTGAAATTATTATAACTTTTAATGCTAAGGATACATAAAAATATATATTCTGTCATCTTAAGTAACTCTTAATGTCAATATTGAAAATTAAGTTTACAAAAGCCGACAGTCAAAGGTTGCATTATGTAGGTAAAGTCAATGTTTTTAATACACTACAAGTGTTTGCTAAAATGAGACGAGCCATGTGGGACTTTGTCTTAACGATGCACTGTTTACGTAAAGCAAAAAGGCAACCAAGTAATCCGAGTTTACTTTACTTAAATTTTATATTCTTTAGCAAAGGCAGAAGTTACAAACTAACACGCGGTTTGTAATTCTTTTATAGGGTTATATCTATAGTGATATATAAAGCTGAAGATTTTTTTTGTATATTTGTTTGAACGCACTAATCCCAGAAACTACTGGTTATATTAAAAAAAATGTGTTAACGCATTTATCGAGGATGGTTATCATAGGTTATAAAGCATGACGCGCTGTGACTAATAGGAGCAAAGACACAGCGGAAAACGTGAAAAATTTTGTTCACACTGTGTGTTTTCCGGGGGGCCCTAAAAAAAAAGGGGTAAAAAAAACCAAAAAAATTTCCGGGGAAGGTTTCCCCATTAAATGATCTAACTGAAATGTCCATGACGTTATATCTTTAAAGATTAACACGCAAGAACTACGGGACGCGGACGTCGTGGGTAATTTTTTAATTTATAAAAATGTAGAGAAGAACTGCAAAAACAAATTTGGATCCCCAAAATAACTATTTTTCGCGGGAAAAGTCGCTGACACAGCTAGTATATACTCATACTTATCCCTTGCTCCATAGCGCCTTGAAAGTTGCAGCATAATAAGATGTACTGTTGAGGAAGGTCAAAAGTGACTACATGCATAAATCGCAAATGATTTATCCGATTGTATTCATTACAGTTATAAGCGTTTAATGTAATTTATGACACACGCGGTATTAACAAGAAGCCTATTAAGGCACAGGATACACAATAAACCAGAAGGAACGTTCTAAAACCGCCCGCACACAGCCGCGGCTCTTAGTAATAACTTTTTACTTTTTGGGGAGCGAGGAGTCGAAATAACATCTTCAGATAATAAAAAAATTACTGCATTTCCTTTTTGTGACATAGATGGACAGACAAGTCTAGAACTCACTTGATAGTTTATATAACTTCTAAGCCCTAGCTATATAAGATGTAAACAAGCTGTCGATCTATTTTTGATTTGGACATTCGGAAATGTAGACTGAAGCCGAAACCCCAATACATCATTACTTCTTTCATATGTTTGATATTTTTACCCATTTTTAACTATTTTTTAACTGACTCATTGGTTGACAAAGCATTTTACTTTGTAAGTAAACTCGTAATTGCCTCACTTTCGAGAGTCTTTTTTCAGCGAGGATTACTGGTTGGTTTATTATTCTGTCAATCGAGTCTACTGAGCTCTCCATAAGTGCATCCGTATCTATACTTACTACCTCGTTTTAAGGTAGTTATTTTTCTGGTACTGGTTTCACCTTAATCCGTATGTACTATGTAGATCTTTATTGGTGAAAGGTGTTGATGTACTAGATGCGCTTCTAAATGCACATAAATTGCCTTGTAACGTTCACGCTTAAATTCCAATGGTACCGTATTTAGGTGAAGAAGCTTATTACTTGAATTGACTAAGCTTATTTATTTGCCGGTAGTAAATATAAATTTAAATATATGATTCTTAGCTTTCGTGACGTTCATATTCATTTAACGCTAGAGGTCGTAAGTTTGAATCTCGGGATAACATAATAAATAGTTCTGGCAGAAGTCATCATCTACTTGCCTGTAAATATGATTTCAGTGAAGCGGAAACAGACAATGTACACGCACAGTAAACTGGTAAAAGATACAGAAAGAAGCAAGGCTTAAGCCGTTTTATGCTAGGTATTTATAGATTATATATATATATATATATATATATATATAGTTAAATACTTTTAGATTATTTACCTTTATTTTCAATATGTTGTTAATTTTAGTTAATATTGGTGTCTATGTCGAGTAACGGATGAAAAAGCAACCAAACTGTTCAAAAATATGTTTTTTAAAATTGTATATTGGTTTTTGTGTACAAAATAAGTAAAAAAACGGAATGTGTCTGTACATACCCTAGCCCCAATTCGGGGAAACGGGGTTGTCATACACTCATACCATATAATAGATCATAACTGAACTGCTCTCACTTTCCAATAACTAACATCGGCTTAATTATTGAGGACAAGACTCAGTTTGTATAGAGCATTCATAATACAATTACGGACTTGTCGGAAACTGTACAGCCCCAGCGTAGAGCTTAATGAAAACTCGCGTGGGTAAAACATGGCCCTCGATGAATTTGCAAGTAAATGAGCGTGTATTAAACCGTCAATGGAATGCCGTTTTCCCTTTTCATGTTTTATTGATGGCATTTTACGAACGGAATGGAAACGGTGACGGGCTAATTGGTCTAATGGTACCAATGTATGGCTAATTATCAACGGGTCGTGGGTCGATCTCCACCTGGTCCAACATATTTTTCTGAAACATGCTGGAATTCTGGAAATTTGGATATTAAATGGGTGGTAGGAATATACAATTCCGTCCGGGTCACGAACCACCGTCCACAGATGAAATAGCCGTGAAGCATATTGGCGTATCGGTTTGAGTCTGTGGATTTCCGATTGTGCAATGCCAAAATAAGTCAACAGCGCATCTTCTTTAAATGATATAGGCTAGGATATACCACCTACCATCAAGTGAACCTGAACTGTCCTCCTCTATCATTAAAAAAAAACTAGAAATTGAGGGCATGTCTAAACACGTTGCCGTCTACCATCTTGGCGCTACTCAATTCCTGTATATTGTCACCAGTCCGCGCCTCGAGTAAAAGTCTCCCGTTCAAACACGAGTCCGTAATGTCATTTTGTTAATGCAATTGAGCAATCGGCCACTTTTATGGGGTTAAAATATGATTATACTTGCACTTTCGTCACTGCTCTCATTTCCTTTATAGATTCGAAATCTTTCAATACAAGAACAATAACAGCGGTACCGGGCAATAATTTGAAGTATTTATTGTAACTATCGCTTTTCCTATGTTAAGCGAATAAGAACAAGTAGTTTCAACAAACAGATTTTATTAAATACATTACAGTATCTATACAAAATATGTATAACAAGTAGATAGACAATAGGATAAGTTTGCACTTCAAAATGGTCCTCGTTTTATATTATACAGTCTTACGTGTAACTTTACACAAAGGTGGGTTATCGTATATTATATAAAAATGTTTACTATTTACAGACAATTCCAATTAAATTCGTTTTAAGCTATTAATATCCTACTGGGGTGTGCATGGGAATTAAGAACTCTAATCCGTCACACTGGTCCAGTGCAGATCAACAAGTTAATTGCCACTAAATCAAAGGTCGGCTTAACGTGCTTCTCGAAGCACGGGGGTGAATACACTCCTACTTTCAAACTCCGGACTAATATTCGAAATTTTCTTAAAATAACATTTCGTATCACGCAGGACTCGAACCCTGATCTGCAGTGGAGTGTACTTCATACAAGACCATCGTCAAATGCACTAAGCCAGTAAGAAAATTATTGTCTAAATCACTGTTGCACAGACGAATACTGGTGGCCCGCCAAATGCAAAAATTTTAGTCTAATTAATAAATTATTTTTCAATTTTAATACATTTATATCAATTCTTTATTCAAAATGATTTGGCTGAGTGGCTACTCTTAATAAGTCTATGCATTCTTGGTCTAAATATTTACAATATGCATTTCACTATACAGCAAGTTATCCAAGTAGTTTGTATACATATTCAAAAAGAGCAAATTAAACACTTGCTATAGTTTAAAAATAGGAATATACAATCATCTAAATATCTCTACAAAACAATGATAATGACTATAAAGGTTCGTCACAATACAAAAAGATTTCAAACTTTAAAATTACATAATACAATCAACGGAGCATACTTTTCGAATTTCGAAAACCCTTATCTATAAACCCTGCGTACCAGAGCAGTCCTTCGTTACCTCAATCCATGACGCCTCAGTCCAAAACTGATAGCCAAAAGCTCGCAGAGGCTTTTAGCCACTTGTAGAGCGTAAACAAACTCCGCCTTGGAGTAAACAAAAGCCAGTTTAACCAACAGCTTGATCATATGCTGAGAGAGGGTCGTTTCTTCCTCACACTCTTGTTGCTTAGACCCAAAATTGTGCCAATTACCTGTTAAACAAATGTTTCTTCAATAAATAGTACGCAAGTAGATCTCGATGAACAAAGATATCCGCAGTTTGTGATATAATTCATATTATTCCACCAGGGCAGGATTTAGGGCAAGCCCACCGGGGCAGCCTCCAAAAAAGGGCCCCCTCGATAAAGATTTCGCTAAGGTTTTTTTTCAAATTACAATAAAGTTACGCAATATAACTTTAGATTATATTGTTGTTTTTTATTTTAAATACTAAAACTGTTTACTTAATGTTTGTTATATCTTTAAAAGAATCTATGCGACTTTACAAAAATTTTATCTGTTGTAAAATACTTTAGAGCTAAAATATTTTGACTCCTTTGTTGCCCCTCAAAACCGCTAAAAGCATAGTAAAGAAAAAGAATCGTAAGAAAAGCCTTGTCAAGACAAAGAATAGTAAGAAAAGAATAGTAAAGAAAAAGAATAGTAAAGAATTTCTTGTTGGTATTTCTATTGCGTTTTACGTCTTCGATTTAAATCCTCTTTGAGTATTAGTTAGTAGAGTAACTCTTTGTATATTATCGCTGGAAAAACTATATGGAAAATGAACTAGTTAAATAATTATTTACCTTTGAAACAGAATAGGCAGCGAGCTTTCTTCTTGGGGTTGGTAGCAGCATAGCGATTGAACGGGCTTCCCTCAGCAAAGCTTGGAAAGCAAGTGCTGCTCCAGCTGAAGACTCCGCGGCAGAAACTTCGTAGAACTGACAGCCATAACGAAGAGATAATTCTTGGCCCTCTTCAGTTTTAACTACTCTGCGGATTAATGATATGATTAATAAACTGTTTGAGCTTTTGGGGTTCTTAGAATATTCCGATGTTAGGACTTCGGTTCTTGTCAAACAATAATATTCTTCTTTTTACTGAAAGATAAATATGATATGCAGTCTTACAAGTCACTTTTAATTTTGCAGGGCCTTAACAGTTCAAAGTAACTTTAATGGCTTGCCGAGGATTTGTGGCTTAAGTTTCTTTATTACATAACATTTTTATAAATAGCAGGTAAAGTTCACTGATAGTCGTTTCTTAACTTTCTTTTTCAGTACCTTCGCAACCTCATCCAGTAACAGACAGACAAACAGACTTTCACATTCATATATATAAATTACGCAATTATTATAACCGTTAAGAAAAATTTTAAAACACTCGCGATATTAAAATTGCGAGGGCGAATTACACAAACATTTAAAAACCGCTCTGGTACTGTAGACTTTCATTCTACATTTTACGTTTTAACAATTAGTACAGAATGTGGTTAAGTTTCACGGACACATTATACTTTGAAAAATATACGCTTTTATACTATGCACAATTTCCTTTACTATATCAAATGTCATAGTGAATCTCAATACTATGTTAAGTAAGGTAAACAAACATTTCTTTCAACGCCCTTCTATCTCCCAAATATCAGAACTCAGTGTAATGTAGAATTTAAGTAAAAAAAATAGTAATTGGTTAGTACTTTAAACCGTAGGTACCTACTATTAACCCAGTTTAATACATGCCATGAATTAAATTGTATACCAAATTAAAAATCTGTCAAAGCAGCACAGCTGTTGAAGCCAGTTCAAGCCTCGCCCGCATCAAAAAATTTACAATCTACATAGATTTTAATTTATATAATGCCATCACTGTACATATGAAAGAAATTCGTTTTTAATTTTACAGTAGATTAATTACAAATCTTGCTATCAAAAGAATTTAGCCAATGTTTATATGAGGTTCTAACGCCGCCAAAAATTAGGATCGAATTCTAGATCTACCGTGTCTATGGCGACTCTAATTGACTCTATTTAAAGAATGACAGAAGGCGCCACTCGCTATTCTTGTATCGCCATGTATCGCCCAGTGTCGCCACCGCGTCGCTCCAAGTAAAAGTAATGTGATAACTTATAAACTATTATGACATAAACTTGTTTATGACCATAAGTATAGAGAGGAGACATTTATAGCCACTTGAAATCGATACCTCGGTTTGCATGAAAGCGCAAATCGTCGAGGAGTTTGCTCAAAGACGCTGGCGATAAATCGTTGTCTGAGAATGGAGACGTATCACGGTTCTTTTTTTCAATACTATAATGTTACAATTTTAGTCCTCAAAAATAAATGTTCACCATGCTAATTATTAAAATAAATAATTGTTAGATTTGTATAAAATACTGTCTATAGTTTACGCGAGTAGTCCATATTTAAATAAAACACTTTAACGGTTTAAAACGCGATATATTAGTTAAACTTATTTGAAAATTATCCCCGTGACCACGGCTGCTGCAAAGCATCCGAAACGTCGGGCCGAAGTTAAAAATCATTTTCAAATAAGTTTAACTAATATATCGCGTTCTAAACCGTTAAAGTGTTTTATTTAAAAGATTCGTATAAATTCCAGAATGATAAATGAAATGCAAAAAAAACGTGTTAATACAGTAGGTCAAAAGTTGCATAAATAATACAAAAATCCTTTTATATGAAGTATAAGGTATAGTAATGGTATTTCAACAAACTGTTATTCCATTTTATCTTCACTTACTAATAGTGATTTAATACGACCCAAAAGTGATACGCATGTATAGTTCCTAATTCAAACTATTTCAAATTGTTATTGAGTGTGTGCTAAACTATAGGTATAAGGTATATTTACCGAGCATGTTCCAAATCCCGTTTATTTCCAAGGAGGGTGACTGCTGTACAACCAGGTAATCTAGTTCTCTCTAGTAGTGCAAGTAGTTCGGATGCAGCGAGAAACGAACGGCGGTCGCACACTGAATACACCACTGCAAATGCATCACCCCATCGCAGATGCTCTGCCAAACATCCTCTTTTCTAAAATATTAATAAAATGTTTAATTTTTTGACAAACTGGATGGTGTATGAATGTGTATGCTTATAATCAACGGATCGTGTGTGCGTAGTGCGCCCCATTGGATTCAACAATTTTCTAGTGAATTTATAATTATTATGAAATATGTTAGACTTTGTCTGGAGATTTGGATATTAAACTGGTGGGAATATCTAAATTCTGTCTACCACGAACTACCGTCCAGAGATGTAAAAGCTGTCAAGTTTAATCGCGTTTCGGTTTCAGGCAAAATCTAAATATCCACCGTGGTCGCGTGCATCGCAATGTTAAATGGCTAGCGCCTTAATCTACCATCAAGTGGACCATATGCTTATCTCTTCTATCATAAAAAAATAAATCAACACGCCAAGACCCATAACGCCCATTGCCACAGATCACGTTTTGAAATCTATGAAATCTTTGAATAAAATCTTACCGCACATCCGCAAGTGTCCAAAACTTCAACTTCTGATGAAACACCGTCAAACGTAGCCCGATGTTGGTACAGAAAATCTAGAACAAAATGTTTACTTCTCACAAACTTCAAAGTTTGATCAACGCTTAAATATCTAATCGAATTAATCTGGGTTAAAGAATTTAACTATTTTCTCATTCGTCCTTGCGCTCGATTAGTGTAAAATCGCAAAACATCCCGCCATTAATCAAAGTTGCGAGAACATTACATAACGCGTGAAGAATGCTAGATTTTATACTGTAATTTAAAGTCAACGGCCGAGTGATATCGGCGCGGGCGCCTTTCGCGGACAGCCTTGATGTTGACCACTTCACTTGCCAATATCGCAAATAAACTATTGGCAGCTAACGCTTGGCAGATAAGGGCCTGTCTTAGCCCTCTTAACACACATCGTCTTTTATCAATGACGAGCTCTTTGGTGTAATCAACGGTGTGCAGATTCGATCCTAACCGGAAATTTTTCTAATCAAATTATAATTTTTCTGAAACGTGTTCGATTTCGTCTGAAAATCTGGATATTAAATGGATGGTAGGAATATCGAAATTCCGTCCGTCTAAACTCTAATGATGTACTTGAAATTCTTATGCAATATAAATACTACTTACCACCAGTAGAACTGTATTCCCCAATGTATCTCTTGGTTAAGTAGCGCACAACCACAGCTGCAACGAAAAAACAATCGTTTTTACTCTGAGTCGTTAATAGCATAGTATGATTTTTTAAATGTAAACATAAGGTAGAAGAAATTCCTATTGATAGAGATTTAATATACACAAGTAATAACTTTCTTAGTTTGTAAAATCGCTCTTTTCGATAATTAATATAAATGTCCGCAAAAGTCATATGAGTAAGTGCAATTAAATACTCTATTTATTTAAATATTTCATAAGCCGTATTAATTATGATAACTAATCACGTTTGCGTCAGAGAAAGCCACAATTAGCGACCAATAACTAAGGTGTTGCTGAAGTTGTCGTAGGAATTAATTTATGGCAACAGGACGCAATTAGTGGAAAAGTAAACAAAGGCATTGAGACAATAGGAGCCTAACTGCTAAGAAACATTTTGTGGTTATAAAACTCATTATCTTTGTAGGTACTTTAATCTAACGATCAATTTACGATTTTGACATGTTTTGAAATAAGAGAAAACATGTCAAATAGCTGAGTCATATTTCTGTATTCATAGGCAAGTATTCATTAGATTTATGTGATTTCCCTATTGAGTAAGACATTACTTAATTTCGTTTTTCTTTCTTAACGATCACTTATATTGCAAATGTTGCAAAACAAAAACACAGCACGCGTCGTAAATGATATCGATGAAACAGATAAAAGAGATTAAATAATATTATAAATTTGCACGTACTGAAAATTCATTTAATCCACGCAAACGCAAAAGCGTGAGTCAATACCGGCTCGATAACAATACGTCAACTGCATTTAACTCATATCGGCGCGGTTGTCGCAATAAAAGGAGATAAAGTAATTATTGAATTCTTCAAGCGGACCATTCAATTAGATCACGTCGGCTGCGCTTGCGCCGCTTTGTTTTATTCAATCCTTATCACTTTGACGGCCTCGGAATTAAGCGAGGGTTAGCCATTAGAATAGCTAAAGGCAATTTGTCCGCGAGGTTTGTTTCGAATTAAACTTCAAGTGCGAAAATTAAATACAGACAGTAAGATAACGAGGCAACTTAGAGCAAAAAGTTATTGTTAATAGAAGCGTAACGGGGACTCATGTTCTAATTGATAACAAAACTGCTTTCTTTACTTAGTATATTCTTTATTGTATATCGTTTACACTTAGTACTACAAAAGATATTGCCAACTGGTAGTAGGTATCTCTACTTTTTAATTAATATATAAAGCTGATGAGTTTGTTTGTTTGTTTGAACGCGCTAATCTCAGGAAGTATGAGTTCGAATTGAAAAATTCTGAAGCCTGAATAATTAAAAATTCTACCTCAAGTCACTATTCAACGCGGACGAAGTCGCGGGCGCAGCTAGTCTATAGACATTATTAGAATTTAATAATAAAAAAAAGGCGAAGTGTCAAACTGACAAGATAGTTACTTGTCACTTTGACAGTTCTTACTATCGAATTTGAAGCAAGAAAACATGTAATAAAAATTTGCCTGCAAAACGTTTCCGGATATATCGCTTTTCCAGATCTTTCTCTTTACGTATTCTTGTTTATGTTACAGAATTTATGGTAAACAAATAAACATGTCTCGTAACATTTAGTACAGGTTAATGTTTACGATGCACTCAAACGATCGTCAGGAGATAAAAGATCAAATTCTATGTATGGATTAAAACGTGACCTAACGTGTAACCTATTTTACATGTGCAATGATTAATAGCACTATTGAACTTAGACGATTGTTTGTGCATAAGAATCGAATGCTTATCTTATGGGGTCGTCAAATCTTTGTTTTATGGGTATTATTTGATAGATCTATGATCCTTTGTTATTTGAAATTCGTACGTGTGCTTAAAACAGGATTTGTGCTAAGTTTATTCCCATTTGTTGCCTTTGACATTAGGCCAATAAGTGTTATAAAATTAATTTTTACAAGTAAATAATTTTACGACATTTAAAACACATAATACGATAACCATATGAAGCGTACTTAGTTTTAACATAGCGTTAGTTGCTGGAGGTTTCGGTTTGAAAGGACACAAGAGTGTACTGAATTATTTGTAAATAAAATGGATCAGCAATTCACGTAATTTAGCAATTTTTTTCAAAGTAACTTCAAACGTATAATTAATTTTATTTGTTTGTCAACTCTTATATAAAAATTTTGTCTAACTTCCTGTAATTTTTATTGACGTTTTGTTTTTTTCATATTGTATATAACTTTTTTTAACTATTTATAATTTAACTATTTGTGAAACTTAGCCACTTATGTAATGTATCTGTTTGTTTCCTTTTGCTAAATAAATAAATATTGTAAATTTATTGCAGTAAATCGATAATTCGTGAACTACTTTTAATTGAGTACAGACAGCATATTAAAAAACAACTGTTATCGTTATGTCGGTATAACTATTTACCTTCATACACAAATACGCAAATAAGGACCCGGCAACACAACGATCGTTTAAAGTGGATACTTTCACTCTTGATAACCGTCAGTTCAAGGTAACCAACACGAGCTATAGTTATGTGTATATGAAGAACGAATTTTTGGATTCATTGCGTGAGTTATTTATTTACATAATACGGTTTCACAAATAAGTGATCCTTTTATTAATGTGAATACTGTTAAATATGACTGCGCTTAGTCCCATATTTTTCAGCGCTGTTGACCTATTTTAAATTTGTACATTTGAAATCCACGGACTCGAAGTACGTAGTATGATGGTTCAGTTGGAATTTTTATATTTCTACCTACCATTTAATGTCCAGATTTTGCAACCAAGGTTTAACTGGTTTACTAAAGTATTGTCTATAGCATACGCTAGTACACATTTAAATATTGCTCTTTTGAACGGCGTACATGCAAAATATACTAGTTAACTTATTTAAAATTTAATTATTTACGCCGCCCCGCCCTTGTCATCTCCAGGATCACGGTTGCTGCACAGCAATCGAAACTTCGTCGTTGTTAAATAAGGTAACGAATATATCACGCGTTTTAAACCGTTAAAAGTGTTTAAAAACTCAGAATCACCTATGATACTACTAAAAATCAGAAGAACCTATTATTCTCAGTCCTTCCGGTGAACGATATGTGACAAATTGTACCTACTATTTTTATCGTAACTTTTACCAAGTAATCTATCTACTACATCTCAAGTTGTAAAATTTAGAGAGCCAACCAATAAATGAGTAGAAATTCATCCTGACTTTAGACCGTTCGCGGCCGCCGCTTCAAAATTTTTATACCTCGCCAATCAACTTAACTTTTATTGCCCACCGCTCAATTAAATCACTTCATTAGCTTTCTCCGAAATGCACTGACGGCCGTAGGACATGCTAATTCGAATTTCACTGGCCGGTGCGGATTCTGACAGGTAATGTTTCTAAACGATATTGTCGAACACATGACCTGGAAGTCTAGATAACTAAATGCACGTTCATGATGGGCCGTGCAAAATTAGAGAAACGCCTATTATACCGAAGCGATTATCTGGAACGAGGTGAAACTCTTTTATTTTTAAGCCCAATTAATCAAGATATGAGAAAACACTTTTTGGGTAGTGAAAATATTTAGCTTTATTGTTTTGATAACCTACTAGTTACTAAGGGCGTAAACCTAAACTTTCAATCTGTACCGGCTAATTTAAATAACACTTTTAACGGGTTTAAACGTTTAAATTCATAAAATTTATTGAAGGGCTTTATTTATATAGCAATTTACTTCACCTACGGCCCGACGTTTCGGATGCTTTGCATCAGGTATGAACGGGGGACCACAGCTGCTGCAAATCATCCGAGACCTCGGGCTATAGTAAAAATAAATTGGAAATAGATAAATGGTGGTGATAGATAATGTTTTATTTTAATGTGTACTATTCGCGTAAATTACAGACTATATACCAAAAGGTCAATTTTTTAAAAATCATATCATTTTCTTATCTTACATGATTATCATACATGATCTTATATTGTTTTTTTTTTCATTGCTAAAATCTTGTGAGAGGTGGTAAGAACCACGGAATGCAGAGATCATTGATGACTGCAATGATCTTTATATATATATGTATATTTTGACCACTTTATATATATATATATATATATATATATATATATATATATATATATATATATATATATATATATATATATGAATTATACATTAAACGTCTTAAGCCATTGAATCTAATCTACGCAATTTCAACGTAAGTATTTTTGCGTTTATATTTTCGTGTCCAAACGTCACGTAAGCGGCTATTTTGACGCGACGAGTATAAAATATTGCGGTAGTCGCAGATAAGCCGATAAACAGACGGGTGTCCCAGCAGACGTTCGGTCGGGTGAGTCACCCGTGACTCTGGTCTTCAGTGGGCAGTGGCATGCGGCATCGGCCTCTATAAATACGAGCACAGCTGGCATTTAACCGCTCCACATCCATGATACCGAGACACATTCTGCAAGTTTCGTGTCGTGCATATAATGTTAATTTAGACAATAGCTAATTCGTTTGCAGTAGTGTAAATCATATCGTAATCAACGTTGAATTGATCGGTGAGGTGTAATGAAATTCGGTTTAAAATACCGAAATTCGGATGGAGAAAAAAATAAATAATCATTTAATTATACAATTCTTAGACAGTAACAAATACTTAGGCTATAAGTATAATCTTTTTGTTTTTTTCGTATCTTGGCCTTATATATGAGATGACAAAAAAACATGATTTTCAATAAGGAGGAAATTAAAAATACGCATTTATTTAGGTAAAATTGAATTTGTACTAATATTTGTGTAAGAATTATTTTAAACGTTTTCGGTCTCTGTGCTTAGATTAACATTTTTCAACTAAAATTAATTTGCAGTTAGACTACTCTGCCTCTACCGGCCGAATATGGAATATAGTCATTGATTAAGCTTGATTGATTTTGACAATATATTCGCCTGAATTTCGGCTTCGGATCAAACTATATTCGGCCCATATCTAGAAATAATTATAATATGACTTACGTCGAATT